CTGATCATCTACATTTGCCCTCTTACAGCACTAAACTATGTTTTCTACCTTTATCTTGCATCTACCTACCACTTCAGCATTTTATTAAAAATAAAAATAATAATAATAATAAAGGGAGAAATGTGGGATCCACATATAAATCAAGTATAAAAATCAAATGAATATTCATATTTGACCTGATTGTTTATAGTTCATAATGCATGATCAAAACCGAAAGTTTCTGTGATGAATGCCCTTGTACTGTTCACCATGTAAGAATTTATTCACTATGTAAGAATTCGTTCACCATGTAAGAACTTGTTCGTTATGCTTTAGAAGATTGGAGACTGACGAGAATTAGGCTTGAGATGGATTAATGATTGTACATTGAGCATTGACCCCCCCTATACAGAATTTTATTGTTGTTAACAACCATTTGATCAATAAATATGAGAGATGCCCTCTCAAAAAAAAAAATGACTGGAGTTAAGGCATCAGTACCGTGCAATCCCAGCTGCTTTCTCCAAGGGGCTCTGGGTATGGAGGGGCTTCCACCACAGAACACACCACTCATGTTCTCATCCTGGCTTTTGACTAAAGAACCTCGCCTAAGGATCCAAAGAGGCCTAGGGATTTTCCCACCTGAGCCACAAGCCAGGAGGGTGCTGGAGAGCTTCCTGGCCTGAGCCAGGCTCTGCAGCAGGATTCATTTGGTACCTGTGAACAGCTGATGCCTCTTGCGCCCTCAGCCCTCCAGTTTTTATTCCACCACTAAGTCCTGTCAATTTTACCCCTAAAACAGCTCTTATGCCTGCCACTTCCCCCATCTCCATCTCCATCTCCACCAGCCAAGTCCATTTCTCACTGGGACCACTTACTCCCAGGGCCTCATAACTGTTCCCCCCACACAGCTGGGCAGTGCCAGCGGTGTCCTGGCACAAGCTCCTGAGAGTTGAGTGTTAAATATTCAGGAATTCAGCAAGAACTGGTTGTTAACCTGTCAGCAGCTTCAAAAAGCGGTGGTGGGAGTAGTCACCCTGGGGAAACTGAGAAACACTACTCATTATGGCTCTTTTCTGGAGAGCTGACTTCCTAGCACACTACTGCATGGGCCCCTTCTAATCCACCCCTGCAGTGGACCTCCCTTCCACAACTTCTGCAGCTTCCCTTTGCTCTCTGACGAAAACAAAACCCCCTGGCAGGGCCTCTCACCTATACTTCAGCCTCCCTGGCACCTGGCTGCCCCTCGTCCTCCCTCTGGCCACCCTGGCCCCTCAGTCCCACCTACTTGCCATGACCTGCCCTCCATAGGGGCTCTGAACAGGCTGCTTCCTCTGCCTGGAACTCTCTTCCCACCTTCTCTGCCTGGCTAGCTTCTACCAATTCCTCAGGCATCCGCTCAAGTGCCATTTCCTTGGGGAAGCCTCCCCAAGCCCCTGACTGACCCCACGGGAGAAGGTCTCACTGCACTGGACCCCTCTTACCTTCCTTGGGAATTTACATTTGTAATTACTGATTAATGGCTCTTCCCTATTCCAAAAAGGTCTTTATCACACAGTGAATGACTGTGCACCTAACACATGGGTAACATAAAGATCGTCACTCTGGGGGAACTGAAAAAAAGTCAAAGCCAGAGAGAGCCCTGGCACACAAGAGCTTAAGCCCTCACAAGACACACTCCTAACATACACGGAGGCAGAATATGCGCACACCAGTAAGTGGAGCTGAGAAATTCAATGCAAGAACTGACTCCCACAGAAAGAAGAGTCTGTGATGGGTTTCTGGAGGTTACAGTCCAGAGCTGACCCTGCAGGAACCGAAAGAGTTATGCAAAGCTGTCCAGGAGACAGAGGCTTGTCCCTGAGAAGGCTCAGCAGCCAACATGTTAGGAGCCAATGAGGGAAGGTAATGCTAGAAAGATACGGTGAGGCCAGACTGTAGAGGGGCCTCCAAGGGCAGAGTGAGGAGTCTGGCTTTTTAAACATAAAGAACAAATTTGGGTGTTTGAACAGAGGAAGGATCTTGAAAGTAGTGATTCTAGAAAACTCATCCATACACATACTCTCTCTCAGGGCCTGTATCTATAAAGCCAGAAACAAATTCCATCTGACAATAGCTTTCCAAACCCAGAGAGCAAATGGAGGCCAGTTTGAGCTAGAGATGACAGACTCATGGTGCATTTGCACAGAACTCTTTTTGAAGGAAATCAAGACATCTCTACTTCAGCTGCAATGAGATCCTTGCTACAGTCAAGACTCTAAAAGCTCTGGCCTGTCTAGAGGCAGACCAGCCCAGTTACCTGTGGGGTTGTAAGATGACCTGGCTCTTCTGCTGCAACACTAGGCCCCTGGCTATACTCTGACCAGAACAAATTGGAGCCATTTTTTTCTAAGGCCCCCTGAGCCAGAGGGTTTGCTGGAATTCTGGTTCCCCAGTGGAGGATGAGAACCACCAGTGCAGAGCTGTACTCTGCCCTCCGGCTCTGGCCCCCACATTCCTCCAGGGTCAGTCCATCAACTCAGAGCTGACAGGATGCAGGGCAGAGCCTGGAAGTTTTCCAGTGAACTGATAAAGAAGAGTGCTGTCTGGAATGACCCTCTGACATGGTGGCCAGCAGCCTCAATCACCCTCTCTGCCTGCTGCAGCTATGTGCCATCCCTCTAATCCAAAAAAGGTGTTTAGTAGCCCTTGATTAAAAAGTTAGATGCCATCCATCAAGGACTTTGGTGTGTTCCAATTTTGGGTCAAGAAGATAGTTTAGCTATTTGGTGAGTAAAGATTCCCTAGCAGTGGTCTCCAGATGGGGTAAATGTACTCCAGAGGTTACCCAAGACTGGAATTCAAAAAAAATAGAAAAAAAAAAAAAAGGCTAGGCTTTTCTGAATATTAACTTTATAGTAACCTCCTCAGATCATTTGTCGGAAGATCATGTGTCACTTTGGAACTTGAGGTATCCTGAGGAAGATGGGCGCTCTGCAGGCAGGGGTGGACAGAGACGTATGGAGACACGTCACAGGTTATGTGTGCTCTGTCGAGTAGGATTATGGATTGCATTATCCAGTTTGATAAAATGATTCTTGTAAAATGAACAAGTTACTAAAGAGACTCCTGCAGGGGATTTCAGTCCTGTGCCACCAGCACAAGCAAACAGAAATATGGAAGAACACTCCTAGTGTGCGAAACTCATGTCAAACACATAAGAACAGACAATGGGAGCTCCTAAGATCAAGGAGAAATCCATCCAAATTATTAAAAATTATAACAATTATCTGAAATACAAATTTTCATCCACTATCCTTGATAATAATTCATTCACGTGGCTCTGTGGATTTCGTGCTGTGAAGTACTGCAAACAATACAGGGAAGTGGTCATAACTGGTAATTTAAAGTACTTGAAAAAGTAATTTTAAAACACTTAAAAGTTATTTTATTCTCACCCTTCAAATTATTCTTTTGTATGTTTTACAGTGTGCACGATAGTCTAATGTTAGCCCAGATGGGTAATTTTAAATATATGTAATTGAGGCTGAAAGTTTAAAAGGTCAAGCACATCCAGCACCGCGCGGGACGACGCAGTGTGAGAGGAGCCCGTTTTCCCGCCCCAGCCCCGGCCGCCCGGGCTCTGCCCAGCTGCGCAGAGCCCCTACCTGATTGTGCCACCGGATGACGTTTCCAAATCCCCCTGTCCCCAGTCGTTCTTTCATTTCCCAGGGCCCACATGTCTGGGTTGGCAGGGAAGGTGACCAGCTCATACTGATGCTGGGCTAACTCTGTAAGCAATGTGGGGCGGAGGACAAAAAGTTAACGTTAAGAAAAAAACGGAACTCAAGTTGATGCAGCAGGTAAGCGGTAACTGCCCTTCAAAGTGGGAAGACAAAACCGAGCTGGTTTTCGTTTTGTGAATCAACCAGTTCGCTTGCTGTGTGTCTTGTTTTGGAGGCAAGCTTTTGCCCTTCTCACCTTCCCCCATCCCCACCTCAGCTGCTGTGGAGGCAAGCAGGGAGGACAAGGACTCAGAGGCCTCCGGAGGGGAGCCCCGGCCTGGACCCCGGACCCGCGCGCACCCTGCCCAGGGGGCGGAGGAACTCCTCTGGGCGTGCCCACGGCCGCGTGTGTCTCGCACACTAGAGATGAACGCGGCTCTCCCCCAAAGGCGCCCACCTCAAAGCAGCCACTTGGACCCACCCCGGCCCGGGATGTTTTCCTGGGATCCCAACTCCGGGCCGCACGACAGAAACGCGTCCACGCCCCGAAACCCCCGGCTTTTAAACTCCACTGAAGCTTCTTCAGGACCCTCAGATGAGGAGGGAGGTGCGAGCGCGCCCGGGCAAGACGACGTGGGGTGCGCGGGTGGCACCCGGGCCCGCGTCTGCAGCCGGGGCTCCCCGCTCCCCGGGGACTCACCTGTCCGCGGGGACGCGGGCCGGGGGAGGCGGGGGCTGGGGCGGCCAGAGCGGGGGCGCTGGCACCGCCCCAAGACATTAAAATGCGGGAATCTTAAACCTGCCAGCCCCGCGCAACTTCCTCAAACACTTCCTGCTCTGGCGTCACGGGGCACGTGGGCTGGGCCGCCCTTAAAGGGGCCGCGCGCTCCGCGGCGCAGGCCACGCCCCCTGCCCGCGCTGGCCTCCTCGCCGCGGGAGCCCGCTACCCCTGCCCTGGCGACACCGGAGGCGTGCGTGTACTTTCCAGGTGCCACCAGCCAAGCCAAACATCCTGTACTCCCGAGATAAAAGGGCAGCCCTCAAACGAGCCGCGGAACGCCGGAGCTCTCCTGAGCCGAGTGACTTCACCTGCAGCGGCCTCTGGGACAGGGAAGGTGGGAATTTCCACACCCCAGCCCTCCTGGGGGAACTTGATGGCGCTTCCTAGACTTCTAACTAGGTGGAATTTCCCGCGCCCCCGCTAGGATTGATTTAGGATTACTTACAAGAACTGCCGCAGGCCTTGTGTCCTCCTTGCTGTGCTCCCCTTGTCTGGAGGTTCTTTGGCTGGGAGTCAAGAATGATAAATCACAGCTGTACGCCTTAGAAGTGGCAGCCTCCGCTGCCCCCATTACAAAAATAAAAGCGGGGAAGCTACTAGTGTAACAGCTTCAGCCCCACTGATGTAGGAAAACCGTGAGAGCAGCTCTCAGCCCTGAAGCTAATTGTTCATTTCCAATCTACTGGATATTATAAGGGTTCACCTCCTGTCTCCTGGGCATTATAAAAAGGTGTTTTACTATGGAGTGTCTCAGTTCAATGACATTGTATTAGCAGACAAATGTGTGTGTGTTGGTAGTATTACTCAGGCAGGAAAAAGGTATTAAAGGAAACCTGAAGATACAGAGTGCTTACCAAAGTGCCAGGCACTGTCTGACGTCTGTGTTTAGATTTCCTCATCCAGTTCTCAAGGCAACCCTACAAGCTAGACAATATTGCAGTATTATTATCCCCATTTTACAGATGAGAAGACACTTGCACAGAGAGGAAAAATCTTTATCCCAAAATCGCAGGCTTGTGAGTAGATGATCTGACATTTGAACCCAAGCAGCTGGTTCTGGGGCCTATGCTCTTAATAATTTGGTCAAAAGTAGCATACTAAGAGGTTGAGTAGGACAAACTGGGTTTTGAATCCAGACACTGCTAATTGACAGCTTCTGAGACTTTAGGGCCCAGTTAACCACTCCAAGCATCCATTTCTTTTAAATGTAGATAATATTAGGTTGACTTGCATGAAATGGTGTTTTTAAAAATAAAACCAGAACAGTCAAAACACCAGCAACAAAGATCATCCAGCTTCCTCTGCTTCAGCCTAAGAGCAACAGGAGGACAGGAGGGCATGCAAGTGAGAAAGGAGGCGCCAGCAGGGCTGCTGTGAGGACAGATAAAGTATGACGGAGCCGTGCCTGAGCAGAGCACCAGGCTGAAGCCAACTCTTAGGTACACATGTCAGCCTAAAAAAAGAGAGCTGCCCAGTATTTCTCGATTTACCCTATCATCACTGCGAAGTAGCACATCAGCCTCAAAGCAGGGAGAGAAAGGAACATAAATTCATAGTTGTAAAGCCCTTAGAATAGTGTGTGGCATATTCGAAGCACAATGAAAGTATTTGCTTAATAAATGAAATTTTTAAATAAAACATTTACTGAGCACCTACAAGTGCTGCGCCCTAGGGAGAATCTATTTCCTGTATGACTTCATAAAAGGTTTCTCTTTATACCTGTCACCTTGCAAATCACTGACCTGAGAAATTTAGTGAACCGTCACTGAATTGCCAGAAGTTCACTCTGTTCCACCATAATTTAAGAGTTCTCATTTGCTCAGCTCAAAATAACTTGGTTTTTCAACTGAACATAAATCTCTCTGATAAGGTCACATACTACAAGATATTTTAAAATTTAATGATGGCCCAGGAAGGGGCCTCTGAGTGTTACCACATCCCAAGATGTTTATCATCTTACACCGTTTTTCTCTCATAACATGTCCACTGCCTACATCTGGTCTCTATCCTGCTTTAGACATGTGAACAGACTCTGTATAATAAATGTTCAGATGCAGCCAAAAAATACTCCTTTTTTTCCCTGCTTTGAGGCTGAGTGTGCTATTTAGCAGTGAATGTAAGGGAATCAAGAAGCTGAGCAGCCCAAGTGCCCAGCACAGCTCTGGGCACCCCTCACCCAGGGGATCCAAGCAACGTCTCCCTCATCAGAGGCACCTAGAATCCTACTGGGAACATTAGACCCACAGAAAGCCATCAAGTGAATAAAGATTCCAGTGCTAATGTGTTCTGCTGTGGAGTCAGGAACTACTAGTGATAAGGATAAAGTTTCTAAGGGGGGTATTTTTAAACCTTCCCAAGGTAAGTCAAAGATAACTATCGTCTTACTCAGTCTTTTTGTGCCATCAAATGAGGAAACTCTGCTGCTCACCTAATAGTAGCCAAGCTGAGCTAAGCACCTTTGAGAGAAGAAAGGGTTGTTTTCCAAATAAATCTTGGAACTGAGTCATAGTAAGAGAAGTGAGCTTAAAAGATAGGAGGGCAATGAAACAGACCACTCAGGGTAGGGAAGATTTCCCCAGACAGTCTGCTTTGCTTCAGTGATTTCACTGACTTTCATCATCCTCCCCTTTTGTTTTATTTATGCAGGTCAGGACTTGCTCCTTCAACAAACACAAACTTCCAGAAAAGTTAGAAAACTCGTTTAGATGGAAGACATGAAGAAATCTGCCTTTCTTCTAGGGGACCTGGCAAGAGGTGGGGTGGGCTAGTGGAAACCAAAGGTGACATGAACTTGGACTCAGACCCTTCAGGGCTCAGTGAAGAGCTGGCTACAGAGGAAGGAAAGAAAATGAGCGTCTTTTTTTGTGAGTGTGACCTGAGCCAATGGCAAAACTTTCGAGGAGCAGGGCCAGCCAGGCCATCATGCCTCAAACCTGGGTGAGACACTCAGAGCCCTGAGTCACCTTCCCTGGAGAAAGGACAGCTTGCAGAAAAAGTCACTTTGGGTGCTCCCTTCATTTATATGCACACATTATTATTCCACTAAACTCAAAGAGGAAGAAATATACTATCCAGTACGTGTATTTCTTCACTCACCTTAGGTCTGAGCTGCTGCTTTTGCTCTGTGCCTGGTACATCATAGGGGCTCAACAAAAATGTGCCAAGAGAATAAGTGAACTGGCCACTGCAAAGATCAGGGAAACTCTCTTGTAAACATTTGGTTATATGTGGCATCCGGAAGCCGAGAGACATGAGTTCCAATCCTGACTTGGTGTTTTCTTGGCTTTGGGAACTCGGGCAGTTTAACTGAACCTCACTGAAACTCGGTTTTCCCATCTGTGAAATGGGAGCTCCTCGTGGTTCTATGGTTTAAGTAAGAGTACATATATAAATGTAAAGTGCCTAAGGCAGAGCCTGCTGCTTACTAAGCCTCCTTGAATAGTAGTTATTATTAATGCTGTTACTTTTTTAAATGCAATAAGCCAGAAGTCGGCTGAGATCTCTGTCCTTTGTGGGCTCTAACCTTGCCCCTTACAGTGAAAGACCTCTTGTGCCCTTTCACTTTTCACCTCCCTGCAGGAATTTGATGTACAGAGATGGTGGTATGCAATGGTGGGTGAGGCAGGTCGGTGTTGCTTAGTCGCCTCTGATTCTGAGCTATTTTTCCTGAATTCTTCACGGCCTTTTCTAAATAAGCCCTGCTTTCTACCACAGCTGGTTGTAAGGTTGGAGGCACCAGAGAGAGGAGTGAGCACCTCAAACACTGATGACACTTCAAAGTCCCCGGCTGCTGCCCCCTCCCAACCTGAAAAAAGTGCCTTAGACTAGCCAGTATTCGCGCCACTGTAAATCTAAGCTCTGCCTCCGCCTACCTTTAAAAACTCGCTGCCTGCCCTGCTGAGTGCGACTTCCCCAGCCTCCGTTTCTGACGGGGAAACCTTGCCTGGGAATTGCGTTCAAATAAACTACCTGGCCCTTTGTTGCCTCTCTTCGCCTGCTTATTTCGGCTAGAATTTATCTTACACTGGTATTATGTCATCACACTCTAATCCTTCAGAGCACTTATCATTGCTTTTTTAAGAGTTCAGCTTTTTATTGAACATGTTCCAAAAGAGATTTAATTTAAAAAAACCCAAAGCCCGTGTCAACATCGGATCCCCAGATTCTTCTTTCTTTGTTCCATACTCTTCTCCTGCTCTGGGGCAGCAGGAGTGGACAGTGTAGGACTTCCACTGGGGCAGGGCCACCAGCCCGTACAGATGGGGGTCCTGATATTGAAGTTGGCCAGGGCCCTTGCAAATAAGCCTGGCCAGAAAAGTTCAATATTTGCACCAGCAGCTTTAATGAAGGCATCTAGCTTATGCTTGACTTGTAACAGTATCACCATGCAGGATCTGAGGGTATTGGGAGAGGAAACTTTTCCCTCTACCTTTCTTGGTTCTTTTGCTGGTCAAATCAATTAACATAGGACAGATTGATAGGAGAAAAACAAATGAAATTACCGATTTACAGGGCCCCACAAAGACAATGAGACAAGTTGGTGGTATGTCCTCCTGAGCTAAATAATGGCTTCGGGCTTCAAAGGACAGGAGGGTAATTTAATGCACAATAAGAAGAGCAGCTGTTCAGTAATACATACGGGTGCTCAGATGAAAGCTTTCTCTGATAATAGCTCCCTGTCTCCCAGCTAGGCTGCCTACCTAAATTCTTCTAGGTAGTTAAGGGAGATGTAAAAGCATTTTTGAGTCTGCTATGTCTTGATTGCCTTCAGCTAAAAATAATCCACCCGCCAAAGCAGCACATTCTGGGGTCACCTGGCCTGCTCCCCTTCAAGGGCTGAGTAGAGGCAGGCAGGCCAAGAGATTGATGCCATGGGGCCGCCAAGTACCAGGCTAGCCACCACCCAGCACAGAGCTTGTCCCTGGATGAGGTGAGCCTCACCCCAGCGCAGCTTCCCTTGCAAGGACTCCACAGTTGCAACAGCTGTGAAAAGGGGGTGTCTTGCCAATCAGCCCCTGGCAAGTTCGCTATGGATTCAGTATGACCAAAGAAATGACAGTAGAACGTTTCTTTGGGATGAAAGAGTTTACTACCTGGCTTGTTCTCACAGTGGTAGGTCGGTAGTTGGTAGGTCAAGCACCTGCATCTTTGCCTCTGCCCAGAGCACTGGGCCGAGCTCTCTATACAGCACAATAGCTTATTGCCTAAAAGTGTGGAAGCAGCAGCCTACCAACAGGCCGGTTACATCATCAGGTGGTTTAAGTCCAGTGAGGATCCTGGCCATAGGAACCCCAACATCCCCACAGGGGGCTTCTACTAATTTTAATACAATATAGTTTATTGTTTATTGCCTACTTCCCCCAGTACTGTCAGCTTCTTGCCTGTCTCTTCTGTGCTCGCATTTCTGCATCACCTAGTACAGGCCAGTGTAATAATAATAGTAATAACAACAGCAACCAGCACGTAGGACCGCATAGTAGGTGTTTTCTAAAGATTTCTGTATTGAGGGGTGCAATTAGTGCATGGATCGTTTGACATCCTGAGCGTGTGGATGCCATTCTTTGCCCAGACACAGAAGTCAGCCCTTTTCCTGAACTCATTCGAATGATCATTCACAGAGGAACCTGGTATTTCACAGACTTCACCAAAGATAAGCAGAGATGGAAGGCTTTTACATCACAGTGCCACAAGCAATTTAAAATTAAACAGCAGACAACTTCTCTGTAAAAGTTCCCATTTCTACCACCTGGGCCCCAGCCTCCCCCCAGCCTCCCCCTCTCCCACCCAGCTCCTCTGGCCTCCTGCTCTGGCACAAAGAGCCAGATTCCTCCCCTTTTCTCATGCAGAGTGGCAGCTTCCCTCAGCCATGACCCCCAACCTCAGTTATGTCCCCACAGACAGGAGCCTCCCAGCTGTCTAGCTTAATTCCCATCATGCCTGAGGCTGTGGTCCAAAGCCAGTCCTGTTTCCCTGCTGATGGCCTCACCCACTGGCTCACAAGCTGCACCTTCTCAGGCTGACAGGTCCTACTCCACACCTGCGACTCCTTGATGTGCTGAGATGTGTGGATGGAAGTTTGATGAGGAATTGGGTATTTACACACATCACCCTAATTACACAGGGAAGATGATAACTTTACAGGTGGAGAAATGTGGCAGATACCACCTTCACCAAGTGGGTGGGATGAAATGACATCATGTGCCTCCTGAGATGATATTCTGAGAAAGACACATCATACTGAGGTACATGTTACACAGTAACTGGCATGAGTTCTGAGCCAAACAGGAGCATCATGCTGTGATTAGCCTTTCTCTGTCCCTGCCCAGCCTCTGCAGGGAAATGTAGCCTGCAGTGATTTAACCGTGCCTCCCCTTGGAAGGGAGAAACACTGACATATCATTTTGGATCCTGTATAACATTGTTTCCCTCCTCTCTGCCGTTGCTCTTACTACTAACTTCCAGTCTGAGGCCATTCCCACTGGTGAAGGGGGTGCATCTGCAAAGAGGGCAAAAACTGCCAGGACCCAAGGGGTGATTCCTTGAGGGGGGAAAATCTGTAGACCCCTATCTTTTTTTTTTTAACCAGAGGATGTCAGATAATTTAAATACATTGGTAATTTCTCTACTTCATTTTTGGTCATTTAAAAATCTCAGATTTATAGAGTTACAACTCACATATAATAAAATTTACCAATTTTAAGCATAGAATTTAAGGAGTCATTTTATAATTGCGTATCACCCAGTAACTAACAGGAGAATCACCCTATAGAACATTCCTATCACCCCAAAAGGCTCCGTTAGGCCCCATTTCTGTCAATCCCCTCCCCAACCTGCTGCCCCCCAGCCACTCACAGCCACTGGTGCAGCCTTGGTAGGTTTGCCATTTGGCCCATTTTAATTTTACTTCTTAGCAACCATTTCTAGAGAACTGCTAAGGTGTGGCCAGAATGCTGGGCTGGGCTGATTTCTCATGCCAGGGAGTCAGAGGCTGGAGAACCAAACAACAGATGGAGCCGGGGAGGGCCCGGGAGTGAGTGAGGCAGGAAGGGCAGACAATCACTCAGCCTACAGAGTGGGCCAAGAATGAGGAAGAGAGAGAAAAGGGAAAGGCCACGCGCTATCTAGAGGCAGGAAGGGTGGAAAAGGTCACACAGCCAGCGGAGATGGGCACTTTTACTTCCAGGCCTGAGCTATGTTGCAGTTCAACTGTCAGACCCAAATCCACCCCAAGCCCAGGCTGCTCTCAGCTCTTCCCCATGTCAGGGGTGTCTGGCCCCCCCACCTGCCAGTCCCGATTTCTTTTGGCAGAGGCTCTGGGAGACTCTCGGAGCTGCCAGCTGGGTGAAGTGCATCTTGGTCTCCAGACCACCTCCCTTCCCACCTCAGGGGCCAGGGCATCCCACCCAGCTCCCTCTGCCCTGGGCCTCTGCCTCCAAGTTCATGATCTTCTCTATGGGTGTGGCCCCTTATAGGGGCATTTGAATTTTAATTGGAAGAAGCAAAGGAAGACAGTAAATTAACATGTATTGGATGTCTCTCACCAGAGAGGAAGAATTCAAACAGTTAAGAAAGATGCAAAAGTAAAAGCAAAAAATTCTCTCTCTAGGTCTTAATTCCTAGTCTGTCCCCAAGACCCAACACTGTCAACTTTGTCCTTTCTAAGGACACAGAAGGGATATTGTTTTAAAGCAACATCATATACGCATAGCTCTGAACCTTCCTTTTATTATTGCATGATTCAGCTTGGAGCTGTTTCAATACCAACATATTCAATTTTGATATAATTTCAAATTTACCAAAAACCTGCACAAATAGAAGGACCTGTCCTCCCTGACCCAGATTCACCAATTATCTACATTTTATCCCTTTTTGTTTATCATTTTCTCTGTATCTATCTATTCATCTACATACCTTTTCTGAACCATTTCAAAGTACATTAGGGGGCAAAATAGGCGAAGAGGACTAAGAGGTACAAAATTCCAGTTATAAAATAAATAAGTCATGGGATAAAAAGTATAGCAGAGGGGATATGGTCAACACTACTGTAATAATT